TTGCATATGTGCATTGGGTTGCTACTTTGAGAGGTGAGATAAGTCCTAGCTCAGACTTGAGTGTACACCTATGATAGGATTGTGGTATGATCAATAGTTGACGGTTGGGAGTAGTCCTAACATGTTTGACATATGACGTAACCACGCCCAATTGAGGCCCCTTTGGGATTACTAATGGTGTATGAGTAATCGTATGTTCATTACTTTTTCTGACCTGGGAGTCCGTGAAACTGAGGACCTTTTAGTCACCCAGTCACCCCACTTGTCCTTTTTAGGTGTGATGGCTGTGAGGGAGTAGTCTCGAATGGTTGATACGGGATACTACACTCAGACGAGTTTATCTTGAGAATATTTTTGACTCACATGAGTAGTCATGTAGGTTGATAATATCCGAAAGATTTATCGATGACTCTGGGAACTTCGTAGAACCCGTTGTGCAAGTACAAACAACCCATAGTTCATGTCTTTTGGGAATTGTATACCATTGATCCATGCCTGTGACCCAAACCTAGGACCCTTGTTTGTATGCATATGCATTATATGTGATTATGTGAAATACTTGTATATGTGTCGCTTGTGCATCATCATTTCATCATAAGCATTCATGCAGTTGGTTTTGAGAAACTCAGTTGTTTTCTTTATTGCAAAAAACCTCAGGTCATGGATTTTCGAAAAAGAAACACTAGAAAGTACAACTTCAAGAAACCAAATTTAACAGAGTTAAGGAAATTATTTGCCTTAGTGTCTTGCCTTGAAGACTTCAGAAAGAGATATGGAAGATTATTGGGACTTGTCAAGATCAAGATGCAAGAAAGATTTCTCAACACTCTTGTGTAATTCTATGACCCCTTATATCACTGTTTCACCTTTCTCGATTATCAACTCGTCCCAACCTTGGAAGAGTACTCATATCACATTGGTCTTCCAGTATTAGATAGAAGTCGTTCAGTGGTTTGGAGAAGTTCTCTTCACCAAAGGACATTGCAAATGCCATCCACCTAGAAGCTTCCGGAGTCAAAGCCAATCTCGCCTCCAAGTATGGACTCAAAGGTCTACCTGCTGAACTTTTGACAGGGAAAACTACCCTTTTTGCCAAAGAAAATAGACTATATGATTTTTAAGCAATCCTTGCATTGCTCATCTATGCTTTGTTTCTCTTCCCCGAAGAATAAAATTTCATTGACATCAATGTTATCCAGATCTTCATCATTTGTAACCCCGTACCTACTCTGCTTGGAGATGCATACCATTCTATTCACTATAGGACTCTCAAAGGAGATGAGACTATCCTATGTTGTGCTTCTTTTTTGTATAGATGGTTTGTTGCACATTTTCTGAGAACAGATCTCTTCAAAGAAAATCCAAATGGGCTAAGGTGGTCTCAAAGACTCATGGCTCAGACTCAGACCAATATACATTGGTATGATCCCGCTTACGACAAAGGAGTGATCATCGCCAGTTATGGTCCATTTCCCAACGTACCTCTTCTTAGTGTACAATGGGAATCAATTATAACCTTATCCTTACAAGACGTCAGTTTGGGTTTCCCATGAAGGAAAAGCCTAGCAATATCCCGTTGTCAGGTTTCTTCTACCTCAATGTAGAAACTAGTATGGGGTTTAGGGATAGCGTTGCAGATGCTTGGAAGACCATCAACAAGAAAACCAAGACTGATCTAGGGAAGAAGAACTGTATAACATTTGAGCCTTTCACACAATGGGTCTGTTCTAGAGCCCGTGATCTAAAGATGCCTTATCTCCTAAAGAGACCTTTGCAGATTGTTGTCGCTTCTTCCTCTATCATTTCTGTTGAGAAAATGGAGGAATACCAAGAAATTTTGGCTAGATTGAAACTTGAGTGAGATACTTAGGAGGGCAAGTACCACATCATTCATTCCGAGCAGATGGAGATAAAGAGACAGCTAAAAGAGAAGGATGATTTGATTGAGCTGCTTGAAAGGAGGGTTATTGACAGATACGTGGCACAAGAGAGAATTTATTTTTCTCTACTGTTAAGCCCGTACTTAGTACCCACGAGTACTCTGATATCCCACCTACATCCGATGCTTGGAAGGGAATAATCAACAAGCTAGTATTGGAGAATGCAGAGTTGAAAAGACACAAGAGGACGCGCATATAGAACCTTTCTAACCAGCTTCTGTAGACCCTAAGGCCTAGTCTTTTTTCTCCTTTGTATTCTAAGTCTCTTGTATTGTACTTTAAAGTTGTAACTTTTTTCAATATTAATGAAGTAAGGTTTTGTGCCAAAAAAGTGTTTCTTTTGCAAATCAATCTTTTGAGTTTCTTAAAACCAATTGCATTACATATCATTGTTTGTTAACATTCGAGGAGCCTTCTCTTTGCAGACATTGTAATGGACTCAAGAAAGAAAACAACTCTAAGATGCACATTCAAAATCCCGAGATTGGGAAATCTGAGAATACTAGGAGGCCTAGTGGAAGATCCTTTGTCGTTTAGTAACAAGCATTAAAACCTTCTGCCTCTATTGAAGCTCCAAGTAGATGAGGAGATGTTAATGGAGCTTGTTCAATTCTACGATCCCATTTACCATTGCTTCACGTTTCCAGACTATCAACTATTACCAATGTTGGAAGAGCATTATGCTTTGATGGGATTATGTGCCACTCCTCAACCATTCTCTGGGAGAGAAAGAAGACCAAATAGGAGAGTCTTGGATGAAGCCTTACACCTAGAACCACCTGACCTTTAGACCCATCTGGATGTCAAAGATGGATTCTCTAGTTTGTAAGAAAGATCCTTGATGGAAAGAGTTGAGGCTCATGCTGATAAGCAAGACACAAAAATCTTTGAGGCTATCTTGGCCTTATTGATTTATGGACTATTTCTGTTTCCAAGTGCTGACGAGTTCATAGACTTGAACACTATCAACTTGTTTTTGACCAGGAACCTTGTTCCCACCCTACTAGCTGATGCATACTTCTCTGTTCATTTGAAGAACTCCTATGGGGAAGGCCAAATTGCTTGTTGTACCGCTCTCCTTCACAAGTTGTTTATTTCGCACTTGCCAAGGACCACATCGTTGTGGAATCTAAAAGACAGTCTAGCATGAATAGAAAAGCTTCTATCACTCAAACACTATGACATCCGTTGGTATGATCCCATGTATGGGGGTTACCATGATTCACAGATGTGGGGACTTCCCTGATGTGCTTCTGCTTGGCACAAAAGGATGCATTACTTACAACCCTATCCTAACTCGTCGTCAGCTAGGATATCCTGCGGAGGAAGAGCCTGATCCGGTCCTTTTGAGAAGATGTTTTCTTGAAGAAGAGAGAAACCCAGATCTTAAAGCACAAATTGAGTACGTTTGGCGTCACCATATTACCTAAGGGATGACTGCTCATTTTCCATTACATGTCCTTTTGTAGACTCCTACAGTTGTAGGGTTATTTTCAAACTTTAGATCTTTGATCTTTTGATTATCCATTGATTAGGCCCAACGAAAAAAGCATATTTGTTTTTTATACTTTAGTATAGTACTAACAATAGTAAACAACGAATGAAAGAGATATCACATCTCACAGAAGACCAACTATGTAAAATGGCTATTACAGTGCTCCAAAATAATTTTTTATTTATTTTGAATTTAGTCTTTTAGTATTCATCCTTATCCCTTTATCTTTACAAATTAGTCCTAGATACTTTCCTCTAAATTCTGCCACGTCAATCTTAATATTGAGACTCAAAACTCCTACTTGCAATTGCTGGCCCAAAGTTTCTTGAGTAATAATAATATATTTCTGACTCGACAGAACTTGTCACCAAATTTGGTATGCGCACACACAAAAATACATAAAAGCAACAAAAGAGAGAACATATTGTATTCATTATTATTTAAGTAGAAATCATACAAACACAAATAAATAATTTTAATTAAGCCTTATTTTTTCATTTAATTAAATATTAAAGACTTAAAATATCTCACAAATAAAACACTCAAAACTTCAATTATTACTTGTCTACGGGTGAAAAGAAGTATAGGCAGAAAAAAAACTAAAGAAATCTAATAGCAACAACAAATTTCTCATTATTCCTTAATTAAATTTATGCACATTCAATGTGTAATTAAAAAATAAATGATAAAAATGAAATATCAGAATCACATTTTCATTTAGTAAATATCAATCAATTTAAAATAATTTGCTTAACTAGCATGAGGATAATTAATAAGTAAGGGTGTAAATGGTCGGTGAAATTAAAATGAAATGAATTAAAATAAAAAAAAAATCAAATTTATTTAGTTTGATTTAATTTCTTAATCATATTATAAATCTCAAATTAAAATTCATCGATAAAAAATTAATTTTATTTTGTTTAATAAAATTGAGATTTTATAAAATTTAATTTATAAAAAAAAAATTTAATTGACATGCCCCCTATAAAAATTTACACTATCAATTTATCATGTAGGGTTAAATTTTTATTTCAGTTCATATAAAATACCATCTATAAATGGTTGTGATGCATCCATCTAATATAACTTTTTACAATGATGAGCATATGAATTAATATTTATAAAAAATTTAAATAATACAGTTTTTTTTTCACTAAAAGATACTATAGTAAAATATATTTTCAAGATAAAATAACTGTTATTATCATCATTATTATTAAAGAAAGTAAAAGAAATAATAAACTATAGAATTTATTCTAATATAACATGATAGATTTTAAATTAGATAGCATATATATCCAGTCTGATAGAGATCACATTTTATTTATTTTTAATAAAAATAAATATGATTTACTTAGTTCTTTTAGTGCTATTGGATTGATTTAGCTAGATTTTAATCCGAAAATAAATAACAATACAAAGCAAGTTGAATTTGAATGGCCGCATCCTAGTATACCTAATAAAAATAACAGCTTTTCTTATCTTGACTCATCATCCATGTATATTTAAACCAAAGCATTCTTGAGTGATTTTAACCTAAACACATTTAAGAAAAAAAAAGTATAATGGCTTCTATCACCTCTAAATTGACCATGAGGCTTCTTATTGGCTTAAAAACTGCGAAAGTTAACTTTGTCAAAGCTTCAAAACCAGCTGTAGATTTTATTTTCCACATGTTATGCTTGCCTATCGATAGTATAGGAAACATGTATCAAAGTGTCCGAATAAACGGTGATAACCACTGTTACCGAGAGGAACAAACCAATGACAATGAAGAAGGTGACTATTATGGCGAGGAAGAAAACTATGACTCTAGGAAGACAACGACTATTACGATGAGAAAGAATACTATAATTCTGAAGATTGTGACAACGTCGATGACGGTTAATGTTATTACTTTGAGGAACAGACAAAAGACAACGCAGATGGTGACTATTACGAGGAAGAAGGAGACATAGTATTTTAAAATTTCTCTTATTCATTTGAAAAAGAAGTGTAACTTTTATTTATAAATCTCATTTAATCAAAATATTTTTATTTTCATACTTTATAGTTATTTTTTTTCTCTATTTTTCTAACTTAAAATCATATATATATTCATAAATTTATTTCCTTTACATCTGCATTACGTATATCATTTTACATCGAAACACGTAATATTATTATAGCACTACAAGAAAAAATTAGTTTTGACAGGTGATTTAGCCAAGTGATGTAGTGATATGCTAATCACGTGGGAAAAATAACACGTTGTCAAGTGATTCCTACGTCACTAAACTATTTAAATAATAAATTATTCTGAAAATTCAAAAAAGTTCATTTATTTTCCATGTGTGTAACATTGAATGTTGGAATTGAATGTGACAGGTTTGTGACAGGATTACGAGGTGTGTGAGCAATGGATATTTTAAATTGGGGAATGTTCCGAATTGGGAATCACGTGGTAACTTTTCACGGGAAAGCACGTCGGGAAATTGGGGGAAAATTGGGAAATGTTCCGACTTGGGAATCACGTGGTAACTTTCCCCGTAATGTTCCGACTTGGGAATCACGTGGTAACTTCCCACGGGGAAAGCACGTCGGGAAATTGGGGAATGCCCAAGATGATTGTTGGTTCCGACGTGGTAATCATGTGGGTACCTTCCCACGTGTTCACCAAGTCACAAGACTCCATATATATTAATTCACAAAATTTTCCTTCAGCAACATCTCATTTCATTCCTTCGTTGCTTTCTTCTTCCTTTTTCTCCAATTTTCTTCCTTCTTCCATTACCACTGCCTCTATCACAACTCCATTTTTAAGGAAAATTTCACAAAAAATTTAAGGTGATTGGTTTATATGTTGTTTTTGTGAATATTTTACCGTTTATTTTATATTTATCTAATTATTAATTGTTGATTTTTTTTCCAGATCTAGGATTTAAGAAGTTCAATTGGAAGCTTTTGATAGAGTTAACACATTGAGGTATTTAAGCATTTCAATTAGTTTATTTTTGAGAATATGCTGTATATTTTAGTAAACATAATTTATATTATTTTAGTGAATTTCATGTGACTAAATATTTATATTTTTTTTAATGTATATTATTTTAGTTTTTTAAATTTTATAGTTAATATTTAATATTTATTTTAATTTTATAGCTGTTTTCAGTTAATATTTATTTTTATTTTTTTATTATTAAATTTTATAGTGAAGTGCAAACAATGTCCCTATTATAAAACATATTTTTGTTGTGGCATGTATATTACGTCATTAATTAGTGACGTGAAAATCACATGGGAAACCAAGTTACAAATTAGTGACGTGAGAATCACATGAGAACCAAGGAACTATGTCACAACTTCGTGACGTGTTTTTCACGTGGGAACATGTTCCCACCATTGCATTTCCGACGTGTTTTACTCACGTCGCAAAAGTTGGTTAGTGAAGTGGTTTTTGAGTTAGTGACGTGAAAATCACTTGGGGAAATGCAATGTTTCTTGTAGTGTAGGTTATATCCTCATAAATTATATATTAATCAGCAATTTAAATTTAAATTATTAAACTTTCATTCTATTTTCTGTTAGACACATTTATTCTCTATAAAAAAAACTAAATTAATCAATTTTTAAATAATTCAATAAAGATGAACCAATTTTCAAATAACTTGATAAAAAAATTAAATTAATCAAATTTCAAATAAGTCGATAAAAATACTATGAGATATGAAATAACTCCTAAAAAAATTAAATTAATCAATTTTTAGATAATTCGAAAAAATAGTTATGTTGAAAAAAATTCATTCGTATTTATCAATTTTAAAACCATAATAACAATGAATAAAATGACATTTCAATGTTTAAAATAAAGTAGTCATACAATAAAGTGGCCAATAGAGCATGCCTCTCTTTTTGCTTCGTACATCGGATATGCCATTTACTACGGTGGGTCCATTTTCCTTCACAGGACGAACGTATTTTCTCGGCATATGGGAAAAGATTTCCCATGTACGAGTACGTTTTTAAAGAGATATGGCTGAGGTTGGCCTTCACAGACTTTCAACGGGCCGTCTTCGTGCACCTCGACCTGGTGCCCTCTCAACTGCACCCAAACTCCGTTCTCTTCATGCGGGCGTATGACCTGGTGTGCGAGTATTTGCAAATCGGGGCCACTCTCCCACTTTTCTTCACCATCTTTCATCTTCAACAGCAGGTGTCAGAGAGAAAGTTTGGTTGGGTTTCCTTGAAGAAGGGGAGGAAGCTGTTCAAGCCTTTCTCCGAATTTATCTGGACTTTTAAGGAGAGATTCTACGTGATCGAGCCGGTGTTGGAGAAGGCTACCGACTCAAAATGGGGAGGACCTGATAGATGAGGAGGGAAAAATAGTTGCTCGAAGGCTGTTTACTTTCCCTTTATGCTGGAGTGGGGCTCACTTCATCCGTTCGACTGATGAGTACATAGTTGCTCCTCATCAGTTGGTGGATGATGATCATGCCAGCTATGCTAAGCTGGTAGCCTTCGTGGACGGTTTTCTTCCTGCTCAGTGCGTGACTCGCGCCGGGCAGGTTCTTTACGAGGAAGATGGGGGACTGCAGGTGGAAGCCCGGTACATTAACACCATAGAGCTCCTCGAGTGTAGCACTCGTGAGGAGGCTCTTAAACTTTTGGGTAGCTTCTTGCTTTCTCTTATTTCTCCAGAGATATTTTCTTTCCCCGTGCTTACATGCTTGTTATTCTTGCAGGTAAAATGTCTTCAGCACAGGAGAGGATGATAAAACATGCCCAAGAAAAGATGAAGGGCGACACTGCTCTAGGGAGAAGTTGTCTTGGTCACCGAACGGTTCCCCCTCAGACAGGGTCGGGGACTTCATCCTCAACTCCTCTAGCCACTCAGACGTCGCCTCTACCCGTGAGCTCGAGGCCCAAGCACGCCCGCACGAATGAAATCGTGGACCTCAAACGAGAGATCTGGCAAGTTTTGGTTCTGTTTTATTTCTGTTTGACTCGCTTTGGTTTCGCTACACGCCTTTCGCTATGTGACGTAAAGTTCACTATACGAACTTCCTCCGCTTTGACTCGCTTCAAGCGAGCTAGATAAGATTGCTTTTTCCTCTTTCTGTTTTGAGTTCGCTTTGTCTCGCATAGCGAAGTTCACTTTGTGACACCCTGTTTCGCTATGCAAAATGCTTGGCTTTTCCTCGCTTCTTCCACTTTGTCATACCCCAAATTTGTCCTACTCGTTCATACTTTTCATCCACACATTTATTTATCAAATATCATTTAGAAAATAAAAAAAATATGTCGTTCCCCTATTATTGTGGTTCATCATGCCAAGGATAAGTACAGTATAGATTGAAGATCAGTTAGGTTTGACATAATCTTGGTCAAACTAGTTATGTTGCATAATCAGGGCAAGGCCAGAGTACATTGTTCCAGTTGGCGTTGGACTCAATGAGAATTAAAGATCAGCTCGAGTTGACCTGATTCCATTCAGACAAGTTTGGTTTCAAGATTAAGTTCATGATGTGCATAATTCAAGTGATTTGTATTTAAGGATCTAATTAGAGATTGTTGTCAGGATATGTCAAATTCATAGTGCTTCATGGGTGAAGATTATCTATATTCAACTCATTTCCCTAATTAAGCATTCAGGTGGCCATCTTTGAACAAATCCATCGACTTAAGATCTTAATTCTTTTCAAATTCAGGATGCGTTCATACGTTGTTGCAAGAATTGACTTGATTTATCATAAGGTGAAGAATTCGAGAATAAGCACGGAGGTGCAAAATCAAAAGTCCAAGTAATAAAAGCCCATATGCTTTTATGAATAATTTGCAACAAAAAGAATTTATGTGATTTAAGTCCAAGGTCCATTATATCACAAAAAGTGTCTTTGATTGGAAACTTTCAATATCAAAGAGTTTCCGGCATATGCTCGGCCAACCGGATCCTAAGCCTATAAATGCGTCCGAAAATAGTTTTAAAATCACTTTCTAACATTATCAAACTTTCCTAATTAATAAATAAAGCGCTTTCGCTGTTTTTACCAATTAAAAACTAACCAACTTTTATCTAAAGTATCAGACGATTTTCGATCTTACTCGACGTAGTCATGGTCATTACGCCAACAAAAACACAATCCCGTTCACGTAGTGGCCGATCAATTTAAGTTCAAAAAAGTTGCATTAAATACAAAACAGCACCTAAAGTCTTTCTACAAATACAACATGTGGAGTACCGTCGAAACGATGGTCCTCACATCCCAGCACAATAGATTCAGTTGGACATGATTGTGCTAAACATAATGAATAATTTGTTTGTAGAATAAATTATTTAGGGAAATAAAACGCGTGTGATTGGTTCTCGAATGAACGGAAGTGTCACCCTTAGGTTCAGTTCAGAAAACAAATCTTGGAAATAAAGCCAATATGTGAATCGCGCGGTAAAATAAATGCGTGATTAGTTTTCAGACGAACATAAGTGTCACGCTTGAGTTCACTCTTAAAAAATGAATCTTGAAAATAAAAGACAATAATTAAATCGTGCGGAAAGATAAAGGCGTGATTGATTCCCAAAAGTATGAATAAAATTGTCACGCTTAAGTTCACTCTTAGAGAATAAATCTTCGAACTAAAACGCGATAAGTAAATTGTGCAGAAATATAAAGGCGTGATCGATTCCCGAAAGTATGAACAAAAGTGTCATGCTTAAGTTCTCTCTTAGAGAATAAATCTTTTAAATGAAAAGAAAATAAGTAAACTGCGCAGAAATTAAATGCGTGATCGGTTTCCAAAGGCAAGAACCGAAGTGTCACTCTTAGGTTCTCTTTTAGAAACAAATATCTAAAATAAAAGGCGATAAATAAATAAGTGCGAGTAAAATAAAATTTGCTCCAAATCAGAGACTTGAATCTGCTACAATGCTGGAAAGTAAATCTGACTCGAAAGTAAAATGACGGCAAGATTAAAATTCCTACAC